TTGGAAGCAGGGATTGAACTCAGGCCCTTGCACTTGGCAGGGAAGCGGTGATTCCACTGAGCCATCTCTGGTTTGGACAACTGTACTGTGCATTTCTGCTAGGCTGTGGAAGGGAGATGTTAATGCTGAAAGCATTGATCTTTCAACTGAAAAACAGAAGAGAAATAAAAACAAAATACCCTCCCCCCAAAATAACATATATAATGCAGTGATAAACAAACAAACAAAAATTTAAAAAAGGAAACAACCTCCAAATTACTGAAAGTAATTTTATATGGAATATTTGAACAGAATAAAGGAATCCATTGAGGGCAATTGTAGATGGAAAGCTGAGAGGTACACAAAGCTTGAAGACAGTGGTCCGCCCCAGGGTGCTGCTCACAGCCTTTCTTCTCAAGCTCCTCCAGGAATGGAACAGGGAGTACCAAGGGCACTGCTGTGCACGAGAATCTAAAGCAGCTCCTGAATATGCTAGGCCACCAGAGCTGTTTAAAACATGATAGCATGTTGCACAAACGGGACCAATGAAAAGGTTCTGTTTTCTCTTGACCTGAGCTTGTACAGAGATACAAAAATTAAATTTAATTAAAAATTTGAGACATAAGTCTACATGTGCCTTTTCAGTCCTGGTTACAAATATATACAAATAGCAATAAAGCAAAGCATAATACAGAAATATCATTCTTATGCAATCCTGAAAATATCTCCATAAGTATTCCCATAAATAAAATTCCAACAAACACAAGTTTGCATACAAATGAGTACACCCCTCCACAAAGACTGAACCAACAGAAATGAAAGGCAAAAGATTCAAATTCTTAAGAGTTATCAAGTAGGAATAAATATATATTTACAAATTGTGAAAACATCTAAAGAAGAGACAAAATTCAACTAAAAGTTTTTATGGAAATAAATTTCAATGGGACCTCCAGCAATAAAAGTATGTTCAAACATTAAGCAATGAATGCAGAAAAATAAAATAATTCCTCAGAAGAATAAATTACAGGACTAGAGAATAGGTGAAAGAATTAGATACAGAAAAAAAATAAGATTACACATCTTTTTTTTTTTTTTTCTTTTTTTTGGAACCAGGGCTTGAACTCAGGCCCTTGCACTTGCCAGGGAAGTGATTATTCTACTGAGCCATCTCCCTGACCCCAGAAATGACTCAATACATGGGAAAAGAGTTTATATAGTGATTTTTTTTTTTTGTACCAGAAATCGAACTCAGGAATTGCACTTGCCAGGCAGGTACTATGCTGCTGGGCTAATTTGCTGGCCCTAAAAAGTCTTAAAAGATACTTTTCGCATGTTTCTAGAAAGAATTTAAAGAGAATAAAGAGTTATGTTAATATTCTAATAGAAATGATGATACTTTCCTAAAACTCTTTGAAGATACAAAAATGTACATTTAGAGAACACAACACAACTTCATCATGATTACTAAAAAAATTCACACTTTTGCGTATCTAGAAGAAACTACAGAACCTAAAAGAAAAAAGATCTTTTAAAAAAATAAGAAAATGTTAATACTCCTTAGCTGGAAGTCTTTCCTAGGAGATTTATAAATTCAGTACCATTTACATCAAAATTCCTGGGGCTTTAATTTAGAAATTACAAAGTAGTATTCTAAAATTTATAAAGAAATATAGTGTCCCTTTATGAGATGAAAGAAGTTTGAAAAGGAAAACAAAGTAGAAAACAATTACCAGATTTTAATATAGAAGCTATTTAACATAGACATGATTTTACAGTATATCTATTTTATCTAAAGTAAATGTTTTTGAAAAGGAAGACGCAGGAAACTTTGTGCCTAGAACAAGCTTCCTGCTGTATGCTTTGAATGATCAATGTATCAAATGTGTGTGTACATAGGAATGCTATTGGTATGGATAGATATCAATAAACGAATGAAAAGTTTTCCCAAATCATTTATCAGAGAGTTAAAATGAAAATAAAACAAAATGTCTATTCATTGATTAGAGTGGCTTACATTTAACAGAGCACTAAGCTGAACTGGATGTTGAATGCTTGGAAACACTTCTCTGTTGCTGTTGGTAAAATAAAATGTTGTGAATTTTGGAAAAATAGTTTGACTTTTCCCTGCAAAAGTAAGTGCAGATTATCATATGATTCAATGATTGTAATTCTAAATATTTACCAGGAAAAATGAAAACCTATCTACAAAAAAATATGTACACCTATGCTTACCACAACTCTGTTCATGTATACAAAAACTAAAAGCTCAAATGTCTTCTAATATATGAATGAATAAAGCAGTTGGTCTATATTTATTAAGTGAAGGAACTGGGGAGATAGCTCAGTAGAATAAGTGTTTCCCTGGCAATTACAAGGGCCTGAGTTCAATCCCAGTTCAAAAAAAAAAAAAAAAAAAATATAC